AGGACCCTACCCATCACCCAGTTTGACCCCGGCTACAGGACCCTACCCATCACCCAGTGGGACTTCTGCTACAGGACCCTACCCATCACCCAGTGGGACCCCTGCTACAGGACCTTACCCATCACCCAGTGGGAACCCTGTTACAGGACCCTACCCATCACCCAGTGGGACCCCTGCTAGAGGACTCCAACCATCACCCAGTTTGACCCCTGCTACAGGACCCTACCCATCACCCAGTGGGACCCCTGCTACAGGACCCTACCCATCACCCATTGGGACCCCTGCTACAGGACCCTACCCATCACCCAGTGGGACCCCTGCTACAGGACCCTACCCATCACCCAGTGGAACCCCTGCTACAGGACCCTACCCATCACCCAGTGGGACCCTGCTACAGGACCCTACCCATCACCAGTGGGACCCCTGCTACAGGACCCTACCCATCACCCAGTGGAACCCCTGCTACAGGACCCTACCCATCACCCAGCGGGACCCCTGCTACAGGACCCTACCCATCACCCAGTGGAACCCCTGCTACAGGACCCTACCCATTACCCAGTGGGACCCCTACTACAGGACCCTACCCATCACCCAGTGGAACCCCTGCTACAGGACCCTACCCATCACCCTGTGGGACCCCTGCTACAGGACCCTACCCATCACCCAGTGGGACCCCTGTTACAGGACCCTACCCGTCACCCAGTGGGACCCCTGCTAGAGGACTCTACCCATCACCCAGTTTGACCCCTGCTACAGGACCCTACCCATCACCCAGTGGGACCCCTGCTACAGGACCCTACCCATCACCCAGTGGGACCCCTGCTACAGGACGCTACCCATCACCCAGTGGGACCCCTGCTACAGGACCCTACCCATCACCCAGTGGGACCCCTGCTACAGGACCCTATCCATCACCCAGTGGGACCCCTGCTACAGGACCCTACCCATCACCCAGTGGGACCCCTGCTACAGGACCCTACCCATCACCCAGTGGGACTCCTGCTACAGGACCCTACCTAACATCCAGTGGGACTCCTGCTACAGGACCCTACCTAACACCCAGTGGGACCCTTGCTACAGGACCCTACCCATCACCCAGTGGGACCCCTGCTACAGGACCCTACCCATCACCCAGTGGGACTCCTCCTACAGGACCCTACCTAACATCCAGTGGGACTCCTGCTACAGGACCCTACCTAACACCCAGTGGGACTCCTGCTACAGGACCCTACCTAACATCCAGTGGGACTCCTGCTACAAGACCCTACCTAACACCCAGTGGGACTCCTGCTACAGGACCCTATCTAACATCCAGTGGGACTCCTGCTACAGGACCCCACCCAACATCCAGTGGGACTCCTGCTACAGGACCCTACCTAACACCCAGTGGGGCCCCTGCTACAGGACCCTACGAAATACCAATTGGACTTCGGTCACTGAATCCAACACTCAGTGGGACTCCTGCAACTGGATCCAACACCACTGAAACAAATTAATTTTTTTTTTATTATTAACACACTGGCCGATTCCCACCAAGGCAGGGTGGCCCGGAAAAGAAAAAGTTTCACCATCATTCACTACATCACTGTCTTGCCAGAAGGGTGCTTTACACTACAGTTTTTAAACTGCAACATTAACACCCCTCCTTCAGAGTGCAGGCACTGTACTTCCCATCTCCAGGACTCAAGTCCGGCCTGCCGGTTTCCCTGAGCCCCTTCATTAATGTTACTTTGCTCACACTCCAACAGCACGTCAAGTATTAAAAACCATTTGTCTCCATTCACTCCTATCAAAAACGCTCACGCATGCCTGCTGGAAGTCCAAGCCTCTCGCACACAAAACCTCCTTTACCCCCTCTCTCCAACCTTTCATAGGCCGACCCCTACCCCGCCTTCCTTCCACTACAGACTGATACACTCTTGAAGTCATTCTGTTTCGCTCCATTCTCTCTACATGTCCGAACCACCTCAACAACCTTTCCTCAGCCCTCTGGACAACGGTTTTGGTAATCCCGCACCTACTGCTAACTTCCAAACTACGAATTCTCTGCATTATGTTCACACCACACATTGCCCTCAGACATGACATCTCCACTGCCTCCAGCCTTCTCCTCGATGCAACATTCATCACCCATGCTTCACACCCATACAAGAGCATTGGTAAAACTATACTCTCATACATTCCCCTCTTTGCCTCCAAGGACGAAGTTCTTTGTCTCCACAGATTCCTAAGTGCACCGCTCACCCTTTTCCCCTCATCAATTCTATGATTCACCTCATCTTTCATTGACCCATCCACTGACACGTCCACTCCCAAATATCTGAGTACATTCACCTCCTCCATACTCTCTCCCTCCAATCTGATATCCAATCTTTCATCACCTAATCTTTTTGTTATCCTCATAACCTTACTCTTTCCTGTATTCACTTTTAATTTTCTTCTTTTGCATGCCCTACCAAATTCATCCACCAACCTCTGCAACTTCTCTTCAGAATCTCCCAAGAGCACAGTGTCATCAGCAATGAGCAACTGTGACAACTCCCACTTTATGTGCGATTCTTTATCTTTTAAGTCCACGCCTCTTGCCAAGACCCTCGCATTTACTTCTCTTACAACCCCAACTATAAATATATTAAACAACCACGGTGACATCACACATCCTTGTCTAAGGCCTACTTTTACTGGGAAATAATCTCCCTCTTTCCTACATACTCTAACTTGAGCCTCACTATCCTCGTAAAAACTCTTCACTGCTTTCAGTAACCTACCTCCTACACCATACACCTGCAACATCTGCCACATTGCCCCCCTATCCACCATGTCATACGCCTTTTCCAAATCCATAAATGCCACAAAAACCTCTTAAGCCTTTTCTAAATACTGTTCACTTATATGTTTAACTGTAAACACCTGGTCCACACGCCCCCTACCTTTCCTAAAGCCTCCTTGTTCATCTGCTATCCTATTCTCCGCCTTACTCTTAATTCTTTCAATAATAGCTCTACCATACACTTTACCAGGTATACTCAACAGACTTATCACCCAATAATTTTTGCACTCTCTTTTGTCCCCTTTGTCTTTATACAAAGGAACTATGCATGCTCTCTGCCAATCCCTAGGTACCTTACCCTCTTCCATACATTTATCAAATAATTGCACCAACCACTCCAAAACTATATCCCCACCTGCTTTTAACATTTCTATCTATATCCCATCAATCCCGGCCTCCTTACCCCCTTTCATTTTACCTACTGCCTCACGAACTTCCCCTACACTCACAACTGGCTCTTCCTTACTCCTACAAGATGTTATTCCTCCTTGCCCTATACACGAAATCACAACTTCCCTATCTTTATCAACATTTAACAATTCCTCAAAATATTCCTTCCATCTTCCCAATACCTCTAACTCTCCATTTAATAACTCTCCTCTCCTATTTTAAACTGATAAATCGATTTGTTCTCTAGGCTTCCTTAACTTGTTAATCTTACTCCAAAACTTTTTCTTATTTTCAACAAAATTTGTTGATAACATCTCACCCACTCTCTCATTTGCTCTCTTTTTACATTGCTTCACCACTCTCTTAACCTCTCTCTTTTTCTCCATATACTCTTCCCTCCTTGCATCACTTCTACTTTGTAAAAACTTCTCATATGCTAACTTTTTCTCCCTTACTACTCTCTTTACATCATCATTCCACCAATCGCTCCTCTTTCCTCCAGCACCCACTTTCCTGTAACCACAAACTTCTGCTGAACACTCTAACACTACATTTTTAAACCTACCCCATACCTCGCCTATGCTCTCATTAGCACATCTATCCTCTAATAGCTGTTTATATCTTACCCTAACTGCCTCCTCTTTTAGTTGATAAACCTTCACCTCTCTCTTCCCTGATGCTTCTATTCTCCTTGTATCCCGTCTACCTTTTACTCTCAGTGTAGCTACAACTAAAAAGTGATCTGATATATCTGTGGCCCCTCTATAAACATGTACATCCTGAAGTCTACTCAACAGTCTTTTATCTACCAATACATAATCCAACAAACTACTGTCATTTCGCCCTACATCATATCTTGTATACTTATTTATCCTCTTTTTCTTAAAATATGTATTGCCTATAACTAAACCCCTTTCTTTCATTTACACCTGGCACCCCAAACTTACCTACCACACCCTCTCTAAAAGTTTCTCCTACTTTAGCATTCATGTCCTCTACCACAATTACTCTCTCACTTGGTTCAAAGGTTCCTATACATTCGCTTAACATCTCCTAAAATCTCTCTCTCTCCTCTACATTTCTCTCTTCTCCAGGTGCATACACGCTTATTTTGACACACTTTTCGCATCCAACCTTTACTTTAATCCACATAATCCTTGAATTTACACAAACATATTCTCTTTTCTCCTTCCATAACTGATCCTTCAACATTACTGCTACCCCTTCCTTAGCTCTAACTCTCTCAGATACTCCAGATTTAATCCCATTTATTTCCCCCCCAACGTCTTAGCTGCTGCTTCACGGTCTCCGGTCTCTGCGGTCATCGGTCCTTCACGAACCTGTGAGCAGCACATCACCTGACGAAGTGAAAGAGACCTCTCTCTTTTTCTCTCTCCGGTTATACTTTCTCTCCCCTGTTGATTTCAGTCTCGTCCCTTCTAGAAAGGATGGGGGGGAGGAGTCCTTGATGCTAATGGACTCTTGATCCAGGGAATTAGATTACCCATTCTACCTCGCATGAAACCTCATTATCCCCCATGCCACAGACACTGACACCCTACGGGTTTAACGCTTCAATGTGGATGTATTATTATTCTGCATTGAGTTTATTTTTATTATTGTAATAATTTTCACAACATTGGTCTTCCACTAGTTGTTGCAATAAATTACCTTCACGGGTTTAGCGCTTATCGTTAAGTTACCAAGAAATTCACGTGGGTTTTGTCATGCAGTCAGAAGACGAATTTTGACCACGCATCTCTCTGCTCTTTCCCCTCAGGTCAGTTCCTGTCGGAGGTGGAGCGTCACGAGGACGCTGCCGACCACTACGTGAAGGCGGCGCAGCTGGCGCCCTCTGAATACGAAATCATCTTCAACGCAGCCAATACCCTCCGTCAGGCTGGGAGAAACAAGCAGGCGGAAGAGTACTACCGCCTCGCCGTCAACCTCAGACCTCAGGTAGGCCACGAACCTCAATTTGCGAGGCCACCCACCTCACTGCTCAGGCTTCCAACCATATTGCTGAAGCTTCCAACCTCACTGTTGAGGTCACCAACCTCACTGTTGAGGTCACCAACCTCACTGTTGAGGTCGCCAACCTCACTGTTGAGGTCACCAACCTCACTGTTGAGGTCACCAACCTCACTGCTAAGGTCACCAACCTCACTGCCGAGACCAGCAATATCTCTGTTTGACGTCTTGCAGCACTTGAACCTAAGTATCGAGCCTCTGGTAAACCGAAAACAACTTTAATACTAAGCTTCTGGCCAAGCAAAGAATCTCTGCTGAACTTTTGGTAGAGCAAAAAAAAAAAAAAAAAAAAAAATTCATTCACTTACGAGCTTCTGGTAGATAATGAATAGCTCTACTCTACTTCTAGTAGCCCTAAAACTTCACTGCTTAGTTCCTAAAAGATCATGACTTACTGCTAATTTTTAAGCCTCTGACATACCAAAAACTTCGTTGTGTTGAACATACACCTTTACAGAGAGCCCCAAAATTCGACAATAAACACCAAGGCCTATGTTTTTCTATTGTTTGCAAATTATATTCAGACAAATATTAATAATATTGTTAAATCTCTTAAACTGTTACAATATTTTTCTTTTGATTCCTAAATAGCGCCCAAAAAAGTTCCTTAAAATGGTTTCTTTTTAAAGATTAATTGGCAATTAGATGACAATAAAAACTGCTGACTCTAAAAAAAAAGTAATTCAGTTTGTGTAGACATTAAAATAGCATTGCTTCATTTCAATAATATGTGAGATTTAAAATTAAAAATAGTGTTAATTACATATACTCAACATTGAAATGTCTCTTTTAAAAACTGTTTGGGCCTTTTTTGGTTAAGTAATTTTCATCCTAAAGTCCCTCCTCTTGTGCTGTCTGGCGTGGGTAATATCAGGAGTCATTGGTCTGTCCCCAGGAGGCCACCTCACATATGAACTTGGGGGCGATGCTGCACGTCAACGGCAAGTTACTGGAGGCAGAGTCCAGCTACCTGGAGGCACTGCGGCTCAAACCTGACGATTCCATCACCAGGACCAACCTACAGAAGCTCAGACACTTGCTGGCCAAGAAGGGCATCAGTCCCTCAAGATAACCCGCAGCCCTCAACCTCACTCTAAAAACCTGCGAGAAATTGGGGGGGTCAATCCCAGGGGTGTATCCCAGGGGATCTTCCTTGAATGTGTCCCATGGGGGTTGCCTAGAGATTTACCTGTGCCTCAGGTGTCCTGCTTTGCCTTCCCTTACAGGGAAGGCGACTCCTTTCATCTCTTTCAGCCCCCCTAGTAAGTGCCTGCAACAACCGTTCGTGTGAGGAAGCCGGAGGCTCACCAAAACAAAATGCTCAAGTTCTTCCGCGTCCTCGAGCTGTCATCCAGGGCGTGGCGGCCACACAACCACCCAGTGAGAAGATAGTTGTAAATGGTATGATAATGCCGACAAGCTGTGGGAGAGGACACTTGTGTACAGTACAACACATTAAAGGAAACGTTTTGCCACGAATGGCTTCATTAGGATTGATGAAGTCACTCGCGGCTAAACGTTTCCTCTAATACATGTCCTGAGCTGTACACTAGAGTCCTTTTCCACAGTGAGAAGATAGCAGTTATGAGCCCGGGCCGGCGGCTCTCCCAGGGTCGTTCTCGTTATAACCAGAATAAACCATCGTTGAGACGCTAACTCTGGATCATAACAGCTGATCTAGTCACAGCTTAGACGAATGGAAGTGATTCCCAGGTTCATGACATAAATGTCAAGCAGACGAAAAGAGGCGCTCGACTGTTCTGATGTGCCAAGTACATAGCAGGTGCCTGGACGACTCTGTGACAGCTCTCGTTTTTCATTATGGCGCCGCTTATTCGTCAGGTTAGCTGGAGTGCCTTTCCTACACCGTGCCTTAGTCTCCGTTAGTATCTACATATTGGAGTCTGGATAGTGGATAAGAGTTTTTGAATTATTTTTACGAGCTCCACTAATGCAATATATATATATATATATATATATATATATATATATATATATATATATATATATATATATATATATATATATATATATATATATAGATATATATATATATATATATATATATATATATATATATATATATATATATATATATATTTATATATTTATATATTTAAAGAACGAAAACCTATAAACTATATTGTTGAAGCCTGCCATATGTGTCGGGGTGAAGTCATGTTTCTTAAGTGCCTTAATGTAATACTCAAAAAAAGTACTCCCTATCTGAACAACGTTTCTGTGTTGCGGCCCAATTACTTCAGCACCCTCAATGTGGAGCGGAGAGGCAGGTGTTTCCGGTAAGGTGTCAGGCTCCGGGTGTAGTTGGGGCTTCCTGGCATGTGTGAGCTGCCTCTTGTTCCTTGAAGAGCTGAAGCAGAGTCTTCGGAACACTACATACATAATCCAGGTTGTAGCATGATTATTATTATTGACTGCTTAAGATTTTTTCTTTCTTCAGTAGAGTCCAGAAAACTTGTTTTTCATATCATGTTGGTTAGTATTAAGATTCTGTTCAGAAAACACAAAACAGTGCCAAACCCCTTTCTATCAGTACTTAGCGATAAAATTGCATCTACCCAGTCCCTGACCTATATCTCGGCTCCGCTGCTTCCTCGGGTTTTAAGAAACCTTTAAGTGCTCACCGAGATCCACAGTAATCAACTCTACTATTTCACTGTTCAACTGTCCTCACACTACAAACGTCTGAGGACCCAGCCTTAGGAACACCACCTGGAAAGAGGATTTCGAGTGCCTAACCCTCGTGTCAGTCCCGTTTCCTTTCCTTGGTGATCAGCTCCTCAATTTCCTACTCGAGTCATACTCATTTTCAAAATGACCAGCCTTCGAATTTTGACTCATCCATCAGTAATGGTCCTGTTGTTTTATGATGGAGTAATGTTGTAGAAAAGAGTTGCCAAGGTATTGTTGATAATTTGTTATTTAATGATTAGCTAATCTATTGATTCATGGCCAATCGTATCCATACATGTTCCTTAAGATTGTGGGGTAATCTTGCTGCTTCCTCTCGCAGGAGGATCAGCTGTGTGTCCATGCGTAGCTTGCAGGTGCGTGTGGCCATAGAAGTTCATGCGTCTGGTATCATACCAGTGTATATTTGTGTATGGTGTATTATAGAATTTGAAAAAGCGTTTTCCCTGTGTTTGTATTGCCAAGCACACGCACACACACACACACACACACACACACACACACACACACACACACACACACACACACACACACACACACACACACACACACACACACACACACACACACACACAAACTAATATAATGACAAGCAAATCAGCCTGTCTTCCAAGTGATATGTACGCACACACAATCACACAAATACGCACACATGCCTGTCTTCCAAGTGATGCGTACGAACACATACATACACATGTGCGTTTTCACAGCAGTGTAAGTATTACGCTGTTTGCTTGTCTGCGATGTACTTAGTGATAATATTCAATTTATTTATTTGTTGAGTGGAAAGACACCGGCAATGCGCTCTGCGATCGGGCGTATACTCGCGTAGGTTCGTCAAATGCGTATTTAATACTTTTTTTGTGTGTTCACTTACCTCGTGAGCACACTTTGACAAGTAGCACTTAAGACTGGCACTTTAAAAGTGTTCCCTCAACCACTTAATAGTATTCACGTCCTTCCGGAAATAAAGTTAAAGGAGGCTATATTTTTTGCTAAAAAATGAATACAACACGAAAATCACGTAGATTGACTTCAGTGATCTTTTCCTCCGTAGAAATTGATGCAGATTACATCGTTTGTATTCACGGGAGATGAAGTGAATATGACAGGTTCCGGTCGTAAGTGGTGCTGGATGTCCAGTCAGGTAGATGCTGAACCTACAATCATGTTGTACAGATTATCTTTCCCCCCTCCCATGTCCCCTCTCCCTCCTTATTTGTAAACCTCACGCTTCCCCTCATTCCCTATTCCATTCTATCCCCTTCTCCATTCCTCTCCCTTTACTATCTATTCACGTTCTCTCTTCTTTCTCTCTTCCTGTCTCATATTTTCCTCCTTAGCATATATTCTTTCCGTTCCTATCTTTCTTTCCCCTCACTCTCACTTCCCCTCACCCTCCCTCCCCTCTCCCCCTCTTTATAGTAATTTCATCTACATTACAGAGCAATGTTGAGTATTATCGTAGTAAACTATAAACTGTGATCATATATAAACAGGCCCGGACGCCCCGTTCTCGAATACACAGCCAGTCAGCGAGTGTAGACAGCCCCAGAGTGTAGAGTAGCCCATGGGTGTAGAAATCGCACACTGGGGAAGGAACGTGGCGCCAAATGAAGACAAAGCTAGTGAATCCACCCCATTTCTTCCCTATCCGTCCATTCGTCTATCCGTCCGTCTATCCGTCCGCCTGGCCAAGTTTTAAGAGACTGAGAAACCACCGTTACTGTACAGTAAGTTAAAAAAAAAAAAAGAGGACAATCTGAGCAGCGTCCTTCGCCAGTGTAGCCAACAGTTAACAAGATCTTCGGGAGGGAGGCGTACCGGGCCACTTTTATTTGGCCACAATGCTGAGCCTGTTGCCCTGGTTTGCCCTCTGTCTTGGTAACATTTATATCTTGGAGGGTGTTTAGTGCAAAAAATTAAACCAGTATATTTCTTAACTCTTATGAAATTCAAGGATGTGAGAAACAATAGATGAATAAAGAAAATGGAATTTTTTGTTAAGTTCTCAGATGGTGCACAGAGACAGCTGCTTCCCAGGGCAGATGGCACAGACAGCTGGCCCTCAGTAGTCTTGGTAAAAAAAATTATTCAGAAATAAATAGTATCAGTTATACAAATCTATATTTTGTAGAAAAAAATACAGGAAATCACCAGCGTTCAAGAATATTATTGAATTCGGCAAATAACATCGGTCTTCAGGAAATAAAGCCCACCAATCAGGAAAAAAAACATCAATCAGGAAAAAACACCAATCAGGAAATGGGAAAATAACAGCGAGATTCACCAAAGATAACGAACAAGAACAGAGCATATTCAAACCTTACTGACCCAAGCCAATCACAACCACCTCATTCGTGTTACAAGAGTGACAGCTACAACCCCCTCCCCCTGTTTTTAAACTTTTATTTTTTTGTTAGTGTTTGTAATCTAGATTGGGCATTTTATTGCCCATGTTGTAGGCCTACAGATGCGTGCAATATTCTGTTTCCTGTGAGAGGCGAATTGGCGACGCGTTAGCCAGCCAGCCAGTTGATGTCACTCTTGTCAGTTGTTGCATTGCTCCTGTCAGAGGATGTCACTCCTGTCAGCTAATGTTATTCTTGTCAGCTGATGTCACTGTGGACTTCATTAAGTTACTACCACTTTTATCAGGAGTTAGTTTTGTTAACAGATACTGTTATCAGCTGATGTTAATATCTGGCTTCCTTGTATGAGCAGTTTTGGGCGGAATCAACTGAAATTGTTTTTTCTATCAGCTAACAATGATATACTAGTTGCATCACTCGCTCCAGCTGACACTCCTGACACCAACTTAAGCGAGTGACGCCATCTGACATTAATGCGTCAACTTACTTTTACCTCAAAGCCCGGTGATTTGGGGTCGGTAAAGAGAGCACGGACAGTAGAGGTCGCTAAACGGGGGGATAGGGTCACACTTTTACCTCTGACGGTCTCTAAGCGAGGTGTGGTCGCAGTTGGATCTCTTACAGTCGCTAAGCGGGATCAGGGCCTCTGATCGCCACTAAGCCGGGTGGGGGTTACGAATTAGCCTCTGATGGTCGCTAAGCGAAGTGTGGTCGCAATTGGATCTCTTACAGTCGCTAAGCGGGATCAGATGCAAATCGGGCCTCTGACGATCGCTAAGCGGGGTGGGAGTTGCAGATGGGCTTCTGACGGTCGCTAAGCGGGGTGGGGTCGCAGTTGAGCCTCACATAATGGTTAGAGATTTAACTGCTCTCCTCCCTCATTGTAGGGTTATTTTTATGTTTGATCTTATTGTGATGAAGCCATGTTCTCTAATGTCTTGTAGATGATATGCCAAAGACTACCTAGATATGTTTCTTAGATGTGTAAGAGATAATGCCTCATATTATAATTAATAATTTTTTTTCCCCGAAGGGGAAGAGACAGAAAATCAAAAGTAGTGTTTGTATTTAGAGTTCTGTTGGCGCGGATATGGGTGGCCGGGGTGTGGATGACGCCAGCGTGGTGGTGGTGGTGTGGGCGTGTGTGGGAGTGTGGGTGTGATATTCCAAAACACAAGCTTTATTTATTGCATTACTGAACCTCCTTTCCTCTCCCACCCCCTTGATAACTCGAACCAACCCAACCACCCACCCACCCACGCAGAGATGGGTTTGATGGAGGGGGGACGCAAATTCCCCCCCCTCCTCCCTCGCTTCCCATGTCCCACAACCACCCATCGTCTGGCTTTGCCTTCCAACCCCCTCCCCCCAACCCCCACCACGAAGTAAATATTTCTTCCTTAATCAAAACCTTAATGGGCTGTGTACCCCTTTTTCTGGCTTCCTTAAATCCTCTTTCATACTTTCTCCCTGAAACATCTTGCTGCTCCTCTCACCTCATTTTTTTTTTCTCTTTTCCTTCAAAAATTACCATGAGAGACTCCTCTTCGATGTTCATCATTTTTGTTTGTTTTTCGTTGGTGATAATTGTGTCGGTACGACAGTCACAAAATAACGACTTTATTATCCACGGTTCTGCTCGTCGCAGATACTGAGAGTAACTGAGATAGTGACATGTGAACCTTACTGCTTTTCATAATCAGCTGGTAAATTAATTTTAACGAGAACATTTTTATCTATCTGTATTTTCAGTACAAATGTTAACCTACCAATCTATCACTATTAACTTATGAATTTACTTTTACCTCTCTCTCTCTCTCTCTCTCTCTCTCTCTCTCTCTCTCTCTCTCTCTCTCTCT